GTATTCTGCTGTCAGTCCTATTCTCTACTTTTCCCCCTCCCCTCCCCTCCCCTCCCCTTTTCTCTCTCTACCCCTTCTACTGTAAATCATTTCTTCCATTTGTATTATCTTGTCTTACGGGTTCATTTGTTTTTGGTTTTTGCTGAGGATTGAACCCAGGCATGCTCTACTGAGCTATATGTCCCCAGCACTTTTATTTATTTATTTATTTTTGGTACTATGGATTGAACCTGGGGTACTTAACCACTGAGTCACATCCCCATTCCTTTTTACTTTTTATTTTGAGACAGGGTCTCACTTAAGTTGCTTAGGCCTTCACTAAATTGCTGGGGCTGGTCTTGAACTTGCCATCCTCCTGCATCAGCCTCCCAAGCCACTGGGATTACAGGTGTGCCCCACCCAGCCAGCTTTGTTTTTTCATGATGAGGCTAGCCAAATTTCTGAGGCTGGCCTCAAATTTGCCATCGTCCTGCCTGTTAGGATGGCTTTGGGCCTGAGACCAAGCAACTCCATTTTAAAAACTCCATTTGGAAACCAGTTTCACTAGGCATACTCACAGAGCCCTCCAGTATGGCCTCAAACAAGTTGCTTCCCCTCCCCCTAATAAACAGACTGAAGCCCCTGGCAGGCTGTCCTCGTCTGATAAGAGGGAAAATTGAGAAGATCAGGGTGGAGACCACCAGAGCAGATGTTTCTGACCCCAGGGTAAATGATGTCACTGAGAAATTCAGTGGTAGCTGATAAGGATTAAAGGGGGGTCAAACCCCCCCCCCAAAATTAGTATAAATGATAAAGCAAATGAACAGGGATTTGGCCAGCTGAAACAAAGATGCACTCAAGCTGGAGAGCCTGATGAGGACCTGACATCCCATCACTTGTCATCCTTTCCTGAGCCTCTGCATGATCCTCACTGCTCTCAAACTCTACTGCCTTGTCTAGACTTTGGTGAGAGCTGCAACTCCTCCCTACAACCCCCTCCTCAACCGGGTGTCCACTCCACACCAGGAAAAGCCTGCCTTGATTCCGGACCTGATCACAGTGGTCTAAGTGAGTGTGTATCTGCTGGACTTAAAGCCTAAGGCTTAAGACTTTTGAATTTAGCATGCAGAGGGAATGTCTGTCTTTAGCTTATCATGATTAAGTGTGTTTTCAGTGCTTAGAATTAATCTAGAATTGTGTGCTGTGAATTAATTAATCTTGAATTGTTTGCTATGAATTGATTATGTCTATGGCAGTGCCTAACATTAAGGATTGTCCTTTTCTTGATTAAGAACCTATAGAGTGAAACTGTATTAGGTAATTTGAGTGAATAAAGCATTGAAAGGGGCAGGAGCACGTGGACATTCTTTATTTCTCCTCTCGACTGCATATATCATAATTTTGCCCCCTGGCGATACTGCCTCTGCATCCCCCGTGGCCGGGATTACAGGCAAGTGCCACTGCACTCAGCTAAAGTAGTTCTTTGGGGTCTTCTGTTTGAGGGCTTCCTCCTATCTCTTCAGGCTCATTTCCTATGTATACTCATATGTCTTTATTTCCAAGCGACTTTAACCAACAAGTCCTCACAGAGTTCCTTGAGGAAAAATTTTAAATAGTTTTCAATTTTTGTTTTCTTTTATGTTGAGGTGTGCTTTTTAAAAATCATCATGGAATTGGAGAAAACTAACATTATCTGGCCTAATGTGAAAGACTCCAATTAAAATCCTGTCTCTGAGCCAAGAGCGGTGGCACACACCTGAAATCCTAGTGATTTGGACTGTAAGTTCAAGATCTTCCTTAGCAATTTAGCAAGTCCCAAAGCAACTAAGTGTAACCCTGTCTCAAAATAGAAACAGAAGGGCTGAGGATGTGGCTCAGTAGTAATACATTCTGAATTCAATCCCCAATACCCAAAAAACAAAAATTCTGTCTCTGTGTTATAGGCCCAAAGTATGAAGCACTAGAAATTTTGGGTTGTATGTTTTGTGATACTAGACATTGAACCCAGATGCATTGTACCACTATAGCCCAACCCTTTTTAATTTGAGACAGGGTCTTGCTGAGCCCTCAAATTTTCAATGCTTCTCCTTCAGCCTCCTGAGTTGCTAGGATTACAGGTATGCACCCCTACACCTGGCTACCACTGGAAATTTTAAACAAGTGGTCATGAGGGACATCAAGCAATGAAAAAGGCGGAGGGTTGGAGGTTTGTAGAACACAATCTCTTTCAGTGTAAAGAGTTTCTATAGCATCTCTACTGACAACTTTTATTTATTATGGTTTATTTTGAGACACGATCTCATTAAGTCCTTAGGGCCTTGATAAATTGCTGAGGTTTGTCTCAAGCTTTTGATCCTCCTGTCTCAGCCTCCCATGTTTCTGGGATTACAGGCATGAGCCACTATGCCCATATCCTCAGCCCTTTTCATTTTTTTATTTTGAGACAGTCCAGACTGGCTGGAACTTGTGATCCAACATATCAGCTATGTATAGCTGTGACTAAACTATCCAGCAAGAACAACTTAGAGGAAGGAAAGTTTATTTTGACTCATGGTTCCAGAGGTTTAATCCATGGTCAACCAAGTCCATTGCTCTAGACTCAAAACATCATGGTAGAAGACCTTGGTAGAGAAGAACGCTCCAGTCATGGCAGACAGGAAGTGGCTGCAGGATTGAACCAGGGCGCTTAACCAGACTCAGATTCCCCAGTCCTTTTTGCTTTTTATTTTGAGACAGAGTCTCCTTAATTGCTTAGAGCCTCACCAAGTTATGAAGTTGACCTCAAATTTGTAATCCTCCTACCTCGGTCTCCTGAGTCTCTCACATTACAGGCATGCACCACAGTGCCTGGCTAGGGTTTGTTGATCAATAGGAAAGGGGTGAGAGAGGGGATTATGGTCAAGATTTCTAAGGCTGGGCAAATGGCAGTTTCATGAATAAATGGTATATGACCCTGGTGCAGTGGCTGTCACCTGTAATCCCAGCTACTCGGGAGAATGAATGAAGCACTGGAAATTTTTGGTTGTTTGTTTTGTGATATTGGAGACTGAACCCGGATGCATTGAACCACTATACCCCAACCCAGAGGACTGCAAGTTCAAGGCTGGTCTCAGGAATTTAGGGAAATCCTATCTCAAAAAATAAAAAGGGAAGCTGGGTGCAGTGGCACTCATCTGTAATCCTGATGAATCCAACCTAATTCTATCCTAGGATTGGGAGCCATCTCGTCACAAAGTTATGAAAAGTTCATTTCTGTTTTACTACAATTTCTGTTTGGCCTGACCATACTCTGAGGGCTAATCTTGTTTGGAATTCTTGCTCATGCTCAAAACTCACCTATGCCTAGTTCTCCTTAACCAGATAACAACCCTCCCTGAAACCTTAGCAGTACCTCATAAATTCTGATGTTGGAATCTCAATTTACTCCCTACCTTGAAATGTTAAGCCATGTAGATTATTAGCCTGCTATCTGCCTTTGTATTCTTGCCAGAACCCTGTTAGCTATAAGTTCCCAAGACACCCCCCTTTGTAACTGTTGTGCTCGAATTCGGGACCTCCAAAGGATCACCAGACACCAAATCAATATAAGCAGCAAAGAGGCGTTTATTGCAAGCTAGCTCAGTCCTCCAAGCACACAGCAACTGGTGATGAGAGGCCCCAAGCCCAGGGTTTGCAGCAGTTTTATACACTCTTTGGGGAAGGCAGGGACTTCAAGTACATCATAGCATCTCTTAGCAAACCATCACCCAAGGCAGGAAAAGCATAAAACAACTCTAAAACATGATTAGCACATTCACTGGCAGGAACAAGTTGGGTAGGGGTGATTGGTTAGTACAAGAGGGGGATTCATTTGAACTGATTGGTTTAAGCCACGAGGGGTGTACGTGCTGAACTACATGGTTTTCCAACATGTTATCAATCACCATAAATTACTGGGAGGGTCATCTGGCATCCAGGTATTTTCTCTGTCTCATGCTGATTGGTGGTCGCTAGGGGGTTGCTATGGGTCCTCACCTACCCTGACTGAGTCAGGGACACCTGGCTCCGCAGATCTCTCCAGTTATTTGTAGATAAACAACTCAGCAGGGTGGGTATGTGCCTAGGAGTGCTCTGTGGGTCTTTCCAAGAACAAGGGTCATGCCCCCTTCCCTGGACAGGCCTTGCTCTGAGGTAAAGGCTGGTTTCTCATAACATTTTGTGCTATAAAATCTTTTTCCTGGAGAGTTGGGGGGTTGGCCTCGGGCTATGCATTTTGGGTGAGGCAGCCACTGGCCAGTTCTCTCTTGTGTACACAATATAAGCTTGCTTTAATTTGGCTTAAAATTGGAGTCGGTGGTCTTTTCTTTGTGCCGTGGTTCAAAAATCTCTGTGGCTCAGGAGGCTGAGTCAAAGCCAGCCTCAGCAAAAGCTTGGTGCTAAGCAACTCAGTGAGATCTCCAAGTAAAATACAAAATAGGGCTGGGCATGTGGCTCTGTGGTTGAGGGTGCCTGAATTCCATCCTCAGTACCCATCAAAAAAAAAAGCGTAAAAAAATAAAAAGGGCTTGGAATGTATGTAGCTCAGTGGTAGAATGCCTCTGGGTTCTATCCCCAGTATTGCAAAAATAATAAATAAATAAGCCCCATGTTTTCTTCCTCTTTAGATTAAGTGTGGTCCCAAGCCAGCAGCATTAGCATCATGTGGAAACTTGATGGATATGCAAACTGTGAGGCCCCACCCTAGACCTAATGAATCAGAAATTTTGGTATGGAAATTAAAAAGCTCTCCAGGTGATTCTAAAGCACTTCAAATTTGAGAACCACTGCTTTGGATTCTGCTCTGGAGATTACCCAACACATTATTTTCTTTTTCTTTTTTCTTTTTGCAGTACTGGCTAAGGAACTCGGGGTTTCCTGAAGGCACTCCACCACTAAGCCACTGATCTACACCCCCAACCCTCTACCACCAAGTTCCCTCGTCCAGACTTACTTACTTACTTTATTTATTTATTTATTTATTTATTTATTTATTTATTTTGCAGATGACACTCAGACCACAGCGATCAAGTCTGGAACCCACAGAGTCTTCTCCTGGTGTGAAGTTGAAGGCTGGTTGAGAAGACTGTCATAAAGGGACATCACCATTCTCACCAGAGTCAAGAGGCTACTGTAGAGTTTGAGAGTGGTGAGGATGATGCAGAGGATTAGGCAGATGATGAGAAGAGTTGGGATGCCAGTCCAGGTCCTCATCAGGCTCTCTGGCATGTGTGCATCAGTATCAGCTAGCTCAAATGTCTATTCATTTGCTCCATTATTTATACTAAATTTTGGGGCTTCTGCACACCTTTGTGTCCCTATCAGCTGTTACCAGGTTTCTTAGTGACATCTTACATCTTAGAGTCAGGACATGTAGTCTGGTGATTTCTGCCCTGATATTACCCTTCTAACTCTTATCAGGGTTAAATATTTATTTTTTAGTTGTAGTTAAACACAATGCCTTTATTTTATTTATATGTGGGGCTAAGGATCAACCCCAGGGCCTTGCACATGCCAGGCAAGCTCTGTACTGCTGAGCCACAACCCCAGCCCCATCTACCTTCCTATTCTTAAAGGGCCATTCAGTGACTTTTAGGTTTGGGCAGCTATAGGGTCTTTTAAAAAAAAAAAACTTAAAACACACATTTACATGAACTGTTTTACAGCTTGCCCTGTTTTGTTTTGTTTTAGTCATATATGAAGACATAGGGTCTTTTTTGCACTTCTTAGCTCTGCAAAAGCAGCCCCAGAAAATGATAAGAGTATGGTTACTGTTACCACAAAACAATCTGCCTCTTATGGACCCACTTTCGTGGTGGAAAATGAGCCACTGGCCAAAGGAGGAGTCTAGGTTTATATTGGTTATACTGAGAGGTGACTTAATTAGTGAGTGTGTCAGCTTGGTCACTCAGGAATTTGGGGTCTGTTTTACTAATTATTGAGTGTGTCAGTTAGAGCACTCAGGAATTGGGAGTTTTTTATTTTTACTGGGCAAGGTGGAGGGTCAGGGGTCTGTGACCAGCATCTGGAAAGGATTTATTCTGGGAGCAATCAATGCTTAAGTCTCTTCGAATTCTAGTTTTGATGTCCTTCTCCCCAGGACTTGCTTTGTCACCAGGAAAGAATGTACTGGGAAAGGATCCATGCTTTCAATGTATGACTTTCTTTTTCACTCCCTTTTTTCCAGGCCCCAATATTTGGGGGTTTTCATTTTTCCATATCCAACAGTTACTTTACAACATTATTTTACTATAATTTTCATGTCATGAAATATTATTTAACGTTTTTTGACTATTTAAAAATTTTTAACTTGTGAGACAAAAAAAAAAAAGGCACTAGGGCTGGGGTTGTGGCTCAGAGGAAGAGCACTCACCTAGCATGTGTGAGGCCCTGGGTTTAATCCTCAGAACCATATAAAAACAAAATAAAGGTATTGTGTCAACCTACAACTAAAAAATAAATGTTTAAAAGAAAAAAAAAAGGCATTAGGCTGGAGTTGGCCTTTGGGCAGCCCACCCTTAGTTGAGAAACACAACCAAACTGGAGCCAGTCTAGGACAAAGTGGCAGGGGAAGCACTATCTAGTACCCATTATAGATTTATGTAGGCCATCTGAGAGCTGTTATTGATATTATGTTTCCTATTTGTGTATTAAAATAAACAGCAATTAGTAGTGGTAAAAAAAAATTAAGTTTATATTTCAAAGTTCTGGAGGCTGGGAAATCCAGGATTAATGCACCAGCAGGATCGAAGTCTCATGATAGCCTTCTCTTGGCTTCCAAGGTGGCAACTTGTCTCATCTTCCAGAGAGGACAAACTGTGACCTCACATGGTAGAAGGTGGAAGGACAAAACTGGGCATGGTGGTGCATACCTATGAAAGGGTAAAGTTTTTAAGCTGCAAAGTCTGAGTTAAAATGTAAAAGACTGGGCATTGTAAAGTTTCTAAGCTGCAAGGCCTGAGTTAAAAAGTGAAGGACCAGGTATTGTTAAGTTCCTCTGCTACACCCAGAACCTGAAATTCCTGAGGCAGTTAAGACAACGCCCTACTGGCCATTTAGTTGATTAATAGCCTAGGGCCCTGTGCAGCTTGTCACGTAAGCATACAGGGCCCGAACCAATCAGTTTGAATGTGTACACCCCCACCCCCACCCACCCCCTTAGCAGTGACCAATCACCCCCGCCCAACCTGTTCCCACCAATGAATGTACTAATCAAGTTTAAGAATTGTTGTTTGATTTTCCCACGCCTCATGATGATTTGTCCTGATGTATACAAAGCCTCCATCCTCCCCAAAAAGTGTACTTAAGCACTGCTCGACCCCTCCCCGGGGCTCTGGGCTGCTCTCCCTTCTTGAGTGAGCCTGGAGCCTCAGTGCACTGAATTGGATCCTCAATAAATCCCCTTCTGCAATTGCATGAGTCAGTCTCTTGGTGGTCTTTTCTGGACCCTTACACCTATAATCCCAGTGTTGTAGGGACAGATGAGGCAAGGCACCAAAATAGCAGGGAACAGTTTTATTTGGCTTCAGCCAGGTTCAGAGGGTACAGCTTTCACTGTAATCAATTAATCCCCTGAACCCTGAGTTCAGGTAGTTTCAGAAATTTATACCTAGCATGTAAGGGGAGGGGCTCAGAAGTTCACTTTAAAGGAGCTTTTTCTTTCACTGTTCTGGGCAAGTTAAACTTTAGGGACAACACCTGAGAAGGGGAGAGCTTCTTCTCCCCTTTCTTTTCTCCCCCTGCCAGCCATTACCATGGAGCTCAATTGTTAACTTATCTTAGAAATGTAGACCTCTCTGTGAAGCTCCAGCTCAAGGCCAGAGACCTTGTTAAAGGATCTGTCTTTTTTTAAAATCACATTTTGCATTTGCATACACACTTCCACAAACTATTATACTGGATAAATGTTAGTGAAAATCTAATAAAGGGGCATTCAGCACCTGGAGTGCTAATTTCTTCAAGGCCAGTGGCTGAGTAAAATAGAGCAACAGGATAATAGGAAGTTTACCTACATTGGAACTTTTTGTAGAGACTCTTTTGCTGAGAGTCCTAAAATTAATTATGGCGAAGATTTCTGGAGAAGCTTAGTTAAGATTTTCTGTGGAGGAAGTGGTGCCACTATACCAGTGAGTCAGGAAGCTGAGGCAGGAAGATTGCAAGTTTGAGGCCAACCTCAGCAACTTAGCAAAGCTGAAACTTAATGAGATCCTGTCTCAAAATAAAAAATTAGAAGAGCTGGGGTGTGGCTTGGTAGTTATGTTAGGGGACTAGATGAGAATGGTGGGAACACAAGGTTAAAAGAATAATTCTATAAAATGTACCCAATATACTAACCCTATGTGCTTTCTTTTCCAAGAAGCAATTTATCTGCAACTGTCCGGCCTAAAAGAATATGTCACATTCCTCAGCAAACTACCTGTTATCTGCAAGGAAATTCAGGCAGGAAATAACATTGATAAGAGGAACAGGAGTTACTTTGAAAGGAGAGACTTTTGTGACCCTTTTCACACACGGGATCCCAGAAGATAAGGATAATTCCTCCTAACCATAAAACCTATAAAAATGATTAAGAATCCACTTAGAACTGCTCAGCATAAACCAAGGTGACATAGAGTTGTTATGGCAGTGGGGACTTGAAACCTGATGTCATCTTGCTGTCAGTCAAAAGTCAAGAGGTTGGGCTGGCATTGTGGCTCAGTGGTAGAGCACTAGCCTAGCACTTAGCACCACATAAAAATAAATAAATAAAATAAAGGTATTGTGTCCATCTACAACTAAAAACAATGTTTTTTTTTTTTAAAAAAAAAAGTCAAGACCTGGATCTCAGCATACTCTCTGGAAACTTCCCTGGAATCCCCAATGTAGCTGGAGTGCAGGAGAGGCATATTGTCCCTCTTCTCTCTGAAAAGACCCACTCTTTCCCTGAGAGTGTCCTCTTTCCTTTTTCCTATCCCTACAATAAACTCATTCCTGTTATTCTGAGAGGTATCTTTTACATCTTTCTGACTTGATCCCAAGAATCAGGGTTTGAAGAAGGAGTCTTCATATTGCCTCAGTTTCCCCAGAAGCCCTCAGCTTTGTGACAGTTAAGCACGTTTGGATTCAATCCCTAGTACCAAGAGAAAAAAAAAAAGTAGAAGGGTAAAAGGTACCAAACACTGTTTGAATCATTTTTTTAAATAAAGTGTCTTTTTTTTTTTCAGTTGAATGTGGACACAATATCTTTTATTTGTTTATTTATTTTTTTATGTGGTGTTGAGGATCGAACCCAGGGCCCCACGCATGTGAGGCAAGTGCTCCACCACTGAGCCACAATCCCAGCCATAAGGTGTCTTTTTTGTTTTTGTTTTCGTACCAGGTATTGTAAGGGTCCGGTGAAACGTCGGAGGAAGAGACCACAAGAGACCAGCTTCATGCAATGAGCAGGAGGGAGTTTATTGAACAGGATCTTAATTCAGCATGCTGAGGCCCAAGGCTCACTTAGGAAGGGAGAGCGGCCCAGAGCCCAGAGCAGAGGTCAAGCAGAGCTTAAGTACACTTTTTTGGGGGGGAGGGAGAGGGGGCTTTGCGTACATCAGAACAAATCATCATGAGGCCCGAGAAAATTGAACAACAACTCTGAGACATGATTAGCACATTCATTGGCGGGAACAGGTCGGGCAGGGGTGATTGGTCACTCCTAAGCAGGGTACACCTTCAAACTGATTGGTTCGGGCCCTGTGACAAACTGCACAGGGCCCTAGGCTAAATGGCCAGTAGGGCGTTGTCTTAACTATCTCAGGAATTTCAGGTTCTGGGTGTAGCAGAGGAACTTTGCATGCCCGTCTTTTACATTTTAATTCAGGCTTTGTAGCTTAGAAACTTTACCCTTTCAGTATTGCACCCAGAGGCACTAAACCATTGAGCTACATCCTAGCCCTTTTTTGTATTTTATTTAGAGACAGGGTCTCACTGAGTTGCTGAAGCTGGCTTTGAACTTTCAATCCTTAGCTTCCTGAGCTGCTGGGATTGTAAGCATGCACCACCATGCCATGGCTATACAAGGTCTTTGTTCTCCTAACCTATTCACCTCCTACAGGTCCTACCTCTTAATACCATTGCTGTGCAGATTAAGTTTAACATGACTTTTGGAGGGATACCAAAATTCAAACCATAGCAGCACTCATAGCAAACCTGGGGAAAAAATCCATCTCAAAATCTACAATAAGGGCTGGGGATGTGGCTCAAGCGGTAGCGCACTCGCCTGGCATGCGTGCGGCCCGGGTTTGATCCTCAGCACCACATACAAACAAAGATGTTGTATCTGCCGAAAACTAAAAAAAAATAAATATTGAAAAATTCTCTCCCTCTCTCTTTAAAAAAAAAAAATCTACAATAAAAATACAAGTGACTTTTATTTTTTAGTACAAGGATTGAACCCAGGGGTGCTTAACCAGACTAACATCCCCAGCCCTTTTTATTTTTATTTGGGACAGGGTCTCACTGTTAAGTATAGCTAGCAATAAGCAGCATAAGGTAATGTTATAAAGTGCTCATGAGTTACTTTATGGTTCTTCTTTATGATAAGGTCATAAAGTTTTTTTAAACTACTTTAGGGTCCTTCTTTAAATTATCTTAAGAAATCAAATGGTGAAAGTTAATCTGTAGAAAAAAAAAAGCAAGAGAGCTATTTTTAAAACACATCAAGAGAAAAGGATTAATGGGATGCTTGACAGGATCCACTGAGGTTGTTGTGAAGCTAGGCATTATGGCTATAAGTGTCTCCAATTGTCTGGGAAGGAAGATTCCTTTAGTAGTGCAGGCACACTAAGGTAACATCTGACCAGCTATTGAGCCCAGTCCCCATATTAACATGGGACTGACTTGTAGATGAAGCTCCCCTAAATAGACTGGCCACCATGACAGTTCCAGAGAGGACCAACTAAAGTCAAAAACTCCACCTTCTGATTTGAAGGGGGAGTTGAACACCTGTTTGGCAAAGTTGCTGAAGGAGGACCCAAATTTTCAAGTTAACCATAAAACAATTATAAATCTGGGGATAGCATTGAAGCCAGATTTACAGATACATAGTTAGTATAGTTAGGTAAATCAGGCCTAATATAGAGTAAAATAAAGAAAATGGAGGCCATTATTGAGAATGGAGTCCAGGAAACCAGAGCAGCACTTGGGAAAATTGAAATGTTAATGTCCCCAAGGCCTGGAACCCATCCTAAGGAACTGTTAATGAAACAGCTCCCAGCAAACAGGGAAGTGCTAATCAAAAGCCGCCCCAAGGGGCTGGAGATGTGGCTCAAGCGGTAGCGCGCTCGTCTGGCATGCCTGCGGCCCAGGTTCGATCCTCAGCACCACATAC